GCCTCCATTCAGGCGGCCTCCCCCGCCTTCATTCGGCTATCTAGTTCCCTGAAACTACTTTCCCCTCTTGGGTGTGGTCCCCCCGGGACCTTTGGCTACCAGCCCTGGCCCACTTCCAGGCCAGTCGGGACCCCAGGCCCTCGACTCTTCGGCATCCCTTGCGGTGGGCCCCTGGCCCTTTTGACGGTCCTGGTCCTGGCCCCAGCATGGGCCAGTCGAGGGTATTCTCTTGATCAGGTCCGAGTCTCTAGCCCCTCTCTCTCTCCAGGGTCTGCCCTCTGGGTTCTACGCACAATGGGGTTACCCACCCGGTAGTGGAGGCTAGGGGTGAAGGCGCCCTGGCCTGGCATTTCCTGGGGGCTTCCGCGCCACTGCAAGCCTCACCAGGCCACCCACTCCCGGCAGGGTGCAGTTTTAGGTCGTACCCAGGACCAAGGAGCCTCCTACCATCCCCTACAGCTCCTCCCTTACCTCCAGATGTAGATCTGCAGTCAGGCCATGTTGTTGCCTGGCCTCTCACAGCAAAACTGCTGTGTTTATATGGGCAGCCCCAGTTGGCTGCCCTAATCAGACACTTGGCAGCTGCCAGCTCCAGGCCCTTAAAGTGGCAGGCACAACCAGTGCCCTGCCACACACTCCTTTTATCAACACATTCTCATGTGAAGAGTCCCTCAAAGGGGATGTGAAAGGTAAGTGGCTAACAGTGGGTCCTAGCAGGGGTCCGTCCATTGTCTCCTCCTCTCCAGCTCCCCCTCCCCTGTCCCCTACTGACCAGCTTGGAGTCAGGGTCCAGCTCCCTGCTGCAGCGGGCAGGGACTGCCCAAATCACCAAACTCTCCAAATCAATCAATTCAGACCTTTTAACTGGTGCCCCAATTCAAGTCGGAGATTTGTCCACCGAATTGGGCCAAATCTCCTCCGAACTGAATCAGCACCCAAAGCTTCGCAGAGCCCTACTTTTCATCAGTAGATCTCAAATCACTTTACAAAGGAAAAAGGAACAGGACTTGTAACCATGTTGGATGTGATGGAAGAGAAGTCTGGAGCAAGGCAGAAGGGAGCAAGATAGTTTTTGAACATTCTGGACTTACTATTATGTACCTTCTGAAAGTCCACTCAAATCTGTGTTCTAGAGCAGGGTTGAGTATATAATTGAGAAGGAGGAAGATTAGTGATTCCCATTGTGTGTTCATTTCTTCTTTGGAGAGAAGTCCAGCTTACTGAACCAATAAAATGGACTCTGTCTTGTTTCTGGATGATGGAAGTTTGCCATGCTATATGGGGATGTGTAGCAGGGCACTAAGGTGCCTGCTACTGAGAGAACCAGGAAGACTCCTCAGGTGCCGGTTGCTGAGGCAACTAGAGGGAGCTAATGATCCGCACCTGCCTGGCCAGCTGACAAGAAGGGGCAAGGCCTGGCTCCTATATAAACCACAGGCAGGAGGTCAGGTGGCAGTTCTCTACCAGCAGCCCAGGAGGAGAGAGCTCTCATCCATGTTGCAAAGGAGAGGCCTGAGGAAGGAGCTGCATCTTATACTGCAGAGAGAGAAAGGATCCCTGGTAGGACTCAACGTTGTTATGGCCGTGCAGCTTATGTTTATGTTGTAGCCAAGAGGCTTGTGTTTGTTTGCTATTTTGTTACACCGGTGGTTTGGGAGAGGCTATTAGGGGATGGAGGAGGCCTCATAGGGGACTCACAATAGTGTGGGGACCCCAGCGCCAGTGAGGGCGCTGCATACGGGGTACATAGACCCCAGCCCCAGAGAGGGGCAGTTGAGAAGCCCAGAGAAGGGGGTGTTGTTGAGCAGCCCCAGTGTGGGCATGGTGAGCCCCAGAGAAGGGGGCAGCCTTGTGGTGAGCCCGAGAGAAGGGCGGCGTACTGAGAAGGCCCTGAGAGAAGGGCGTGGAGAGAGAGAGAGAGAGGTGGGACTGCAGAGAGCCCGAGTGCCAGAGAGGGTATGGAGAGAGGGACAGAATAACATCCATTACATCTGCGAGGCTTGGGGCATGGTATTGGGGTGGTAGGAGCCACGCATAGCCCATAAGGCTAGAGGACAAAGATAACAGGATAACCGTGTACCAGAAGGCGAAAGGCAGCCTCCCTTTAATAGATATATATATGATCAAAGTCGTGGCGGGCGAGAATCGGAAGGTGCCAGTCAGCAACAAGAAACAGTAAAGGAGGCAACAGGGGAGTACACGGCGACCCTGACGTCCCTCCTGTTACACGATGTGGTTTACGTCTCCCAGCAGCTCAAGGTGGCCCTCAATTCTTTCAGGGCATGTACAGTATTGTCTATACCAGGGTTATTCAACTGTGTAGTGGCCAGAGGCCATAGGCTGCATGGGCCACAGGCATTCCCTGAGCCACATGCTGCATGAGCTGTACAGGCTGCCCCACCACGCAAGCTGCATGGACTCCCAGGACTCCCATGGGCTATGCTGTCCCACTCACAGGGGCAGGACCAGGAAACAGAAGCTAGAGGAAGAATCGGGAGCCTAGAGACCCCCAGCAGCATCAGGAACATGGGAGGGAAACAGCAGCCAGGCAGGAACCCACTGGCTGCAAGTTGAACAGCCTTGTTTGATACATTTACCCAAAAGTTCCATTTTCTTGAAAAGAAGATTTTCTTTTGTGGTTTGTACTTCCTTGAGGATAGCCAAAACCTGTAGCCATGAGGCTCTTTATATTTTACAATAACAATATTGTTGTGGTAGATTAACTGAGAACGGCACCACCCAGTGCCTCATTAGAAAATTATATTTAATCAAGGGAGGTTAGTAATTAGAAATGCAGAGTTGCAAGTAGGCTATCCCAATAAACAGATCCATTTTCTCTGGTTTCTTATCCTCTAGGTGCACTCTTGAAGGATCTGGATTTCTCTTGGATGAAACAAGCAACTAACAACCAAAGATCAGAGTAAGAGTAGACATAGTTAAGCCCCTTCTGGTGGCCATGTTACAGTTTTTTGACCCTTTTCACTGTAGCTGAAATCATGGAGGTTTCTGTCCCAAGTTTGGAGAGGTCAAGAATTCTTCTGTTGATTGGAAGGACAATTCTTACAGGCCCTGATGCCAATAAAGTATGGAACAGTCCGTGCAAGTTTATTGTGTCTACTGATATCGAACGTGTTTGTTTCTCTCGTTGGTGATATTGGTAAGCTTTAAAAACCATCCAGTGCTGTTACTGACACATTGACATCTTTTGGAGGAGAGATGCTGTTCTCCCCATTCTGCAATGAACGGTGCCAGACTTTCTCTCAGTCTGATATCATTGGTTTGGCCATAGGTGACAGCAAAAAATGTGACCACCACCATTTCTTTCAATGAGATGGTGAGTAGGTTCTAGAGGTTTAGAGCAGGTTATGGCTTGTTTCCTCATGTCAGTCAGTTCACTGCCAATCACAGTGAAACTGTAATGAACTGTTTAACAATGAGCCTTCAGGTCTGTTCAGTGGATTACCTGCTGACCAGAGGATGGATGCTTCTTATTTGAAGGTGTTAAAAAGATGTGACCTGGTGAAGAAGGCGAGGAGTATGTTTCCTCCAGAGAACTGTTGAGGTAAAGAGTGATCTAGGTACTGGGATCTGTTCTTATGCCTGCAGTGTTCTTAGTGCTGAGGATCTCTCTCTGCACTGTTGACTCCTTCAGCATGATATGTATTTTCTTACAGAGTTGATGATCAGGGATCCTGGTTTTCTCCGATTAAAAAATCTCCAATTTTTTGTGTTACTTGTTTAAATGCAAAAATTGGGGATTTTTTTTTTTAATCAGAGAAAACCAGGATCTCTGTTGATCATGGCGCCTGTGTGGTCATTAGTACTAATGGTGCCAAGGTATGTTCTGTCAGTACCACAAGGATGACCACCTTCATATCATTAGCCTCTCTATTGTATAGGACTAAGCAATCTTATCCTCAGAAGTGCGTTTTTATCCTTTCTTGAGGTATCAAGAGTCTTGGTTTCTTTGCTCAGAATGTCCACTCTTGGAACTCACCTTTGGTATTAAAAGGTATCAGCATTTTAGATGACCGTGCTGGGATCCTCAGCAGTGTCTTCCTTTTGGTTGTCATGGAACTACTGGAGTCAGCTTTTGGTGCATCACATGTCTACTGGAGGACATTGATTTCTTTAGTATGTAATTGCAGTTGGCATTTGGTTCTTCAGGGTCTGAAGTGTCCTTTTCCCAGCAAAGTGGAGCTTTAGCTCAGCTTTCACTCGAGCAGAATAGGCAGTTGCTATGATTGGTGGTAGAATCAGGCCATCACACAGTGGTAATAACTTCAAGTCTGAAGGCTTGGAGTCCCCCATGAAGCAGAAGAGAAGAGTGCTTAGCTGTGCTTATACAAAGGGACTGTGTTTGAGAAGCATTTTCCTTCTCACTCTCAAATTTGAATAAAGTGGATAGAATGATTCCTACCAGAATGTAGATAATTATCCAGTTCACAGATAAATGAGTAAAGGATAAGTGGATGTTGAAAAGAAGTAGGGCTGGTAGTGCTGGGTTGTGTCTTGCTGCCACCTACAGTGAGAACTGAGAGAAGGTCATAGATGCTTTTGCCCTTTGTATGGAAGTGTGAGAAGGCACAGGGCACATGCACAGCTCGAATGGACACTCTTTTTTTTTTTTTTTTTTTTTTTTTTTAAGACTAATCTCACAGACACGAGGCACACAAACACCTACAGTAGGAACAAAAACTACAAAAATACACACAAAGAACTTACATTTGTACTTATCTACCAGTTCTGAAAGAGAAGTGGCAAAGAACAAATTCTTGCCTAACAGAAAGTACCAACTATATAGTATGGCTTCTCAAAACTAAATACTTGCTCCCAAACTAAGAAAAGAACTTAGGAAGTTATGAAAAAGATTACCACATCATAGCAATATTTATACCAATACACATACAATGTGGACTTTGCTATCCTACTAAAATAAACACTGAAGGGTAATTATATTCCTAATGAAAATAGGTATCTCCCTTGCTGTTAGACCTTACCGTCTCTTTGCGCCTTTTTGTACAAGGAGTACTGGTAGGAGAAGAGCCAGCACTGAGAGCCTCTTCAATATCTAAATTCAATTGTTCCAGCTTCTTCATCAGACATGACATAGAGTCTGACCACTCAGATCTTGTTTCTGGTTGGGTCTAAAAGAAAGCCAAATACAGAAATTCTTAAAATATTAAAAGCTGTTCATGATTTGTAATTTTTTTTGTGTGTACTGATGGTCAACCCTGCCTACCCCCTTATGACCTCCTTCATTTAGAAAGCTTCAACTATTATCTCTACCCCACTGATATGTATGCACGTGCTTTTCCCTGACTAAGCACAAGCCAACCACTCCTTGATATCAAAATCTATCTTTAACATTTCATCTTGCATCAAGCACTACCAGCTCAAGCTAAGTAGGCTCATAAACAAGCTCTTTATTTTTTCCTTCCTAAGCTCTTTTGATTTTCATCTTTCTTGATTTGCGTGAAAATAAAATTGATATTTCTCTTTCTCCACTAGGCTCATAACACTGGCGGTCACCCTACAATCCTTACTTTCTTTTTCACTGTACAGGTATGCTATCATCAGGGTTTACTGCTTTTTCCTATGTATCAGTTTGAAATCTGCCTGAATGATCAAAACACTTAATTTCCTACTCATTTTCTGTCTTGTTTGCCATCCCTTTCACTTTTTACATATTAAAACAACTTGTATAATCAACTCTTTTGTTATTTCTTTGTTATTAAGGAGAGCCCTTGCATGGAGTTCCATTTTTACCTTCAAACTACTTTTTTTTTCAGTCATCTCACTTTGATGGAGTATGAATATGTTCACATATACATCATTTCATTTAGTTGATTTCAACAGTCTGTGCACACCGATACTAATAATCCACTGCAACTCTAGAACACTGTCCTACCAAAACTCTTAAGGTGCTTTACAAACATGAAAGAGTTAAGCCTTGCAACACCTAGGTGAGCTAGGCAAGTCTCTCTTTGATAAATCCTTGTGTTGAATCATGTCCTCTTTTGGAGCCAGAAATTGGGACACAGAGAAGATAAGGCCAGATTATAATACATCTTATAGATGTAAAAGTGAACTCAGGCACCCAAAAGCTATTCTACTCCACCTTGCTGAGACCCTGAAAGTCTGCTGCTGCTTTTCAGAGATTTGATTTTAAAGGTAAGATTTAAGGGTATGTTACAAAAGTAGATACATTAATGAATCTTCAGGAATTTGAACACTGTAGAACACAATCATACTTAGGTGCTAAGTCCACTTTAAATGTTCCAGATAGAATAGGGTCTGGCCCAGGGTGACTTGATGGTCACACAATACAGGGCCCATCTACACATGAAATTTGTGCGATACAATAAACTCCAGTCTATATTGCACCAGAGTTTATTGCTCCTGGGCACAGAGTCTTCATGTGTGCCTGGGACCACAGCATCTTCAGCTGGGTTGGAGCAGCCCTGGCTGGCAGAACGCTGGGGGAGATCAGCCTGCCAGCCTGGGGCTGCTCTATCCTGGCTCAATGTGCTGTGGAGGGGCTGGTTGAGACATGAGGGTGCTCCAGTATGGGACCAGCCAGTAGGTAGCTCATGCACTGAAACACCCTCATGCCCCAGACAGCCCCATCAGCTTCTATGCATCTGTCACTGCACACTAAAGAATTTTGCCATAGGATAGTACTTGTGTTTACAAGTGCTAACCTGCAGTAAAGTTGATTAGTTTCCTGTGGCCTAATAGGGCTGCACATGTAGTCAGAGACTTTATTGCAAAGCTAATTAGGCAGCTCTGCAGTAAGCGTCTCATGTAGATGTGCCCACAGTGTGGCAGAGCCAGAAAAAGTATTGAGAGGAATGCTTATTTAACACCAATATTATGCCTCTCTAACTGGCTTGCCCTTGAAGGAGTTTCTCTCAATTACACCTGAGTGAGAGAAGAGTTATGTCTTAACCAGAAAATCATGCTTTGTTGCTTAGAAAGATAGTTTAGGCTCTATTTGCATTTACTTACTTATTTAGTACCATATTTACTTGAATACAAGACAAGGCTTCCTCCCCCTCACCCCCATCAGCCTGGGGGAAAAAGCCCCTCAACTTCATAGATTTCATAGACATTAGGGCTGGAAGGGACCTCGGAAGATCATCGAGTCCAGCCCCCTGCCCAAAGGGCAGGAAGTCAGCTGGGGTCATAGGATCCCAGCAAGATAAGCATCCAGTTTCATCTTGAAGGTGTTCAATGAAGGCGCTTGAACCACCTCCGGTGGCAGGCTGTTCCAGACCTTGGGGGCTCGGACAGTAAAGAAATTCTTCCTTATGTCCAGCCTGAAACGGTCTTGTAGTAGTTTGTGACCATTCGACCTCGTCATCCCTTGGGGTGCTCTGGTGAACAAACGTTCCCCCAGATGCTGGTGGTCACCCCTGATAAACTTGTAGGTGGCCATCAGATCACCCCTGAGCCTGCGCTTTTTCAGGCTAAAGAGCCCCAGGGCTCTCAGCCTGTCATCGTAGGGTCTGCTTCCCTGACCTCTGATCATGCGCGTGGCTCTTCTCTGGACTCTCTCAAGCTTCCTCCACATCCTTTTTGAATTGTGGAGCCCAAAACTGGACGCAGTACTCCAGCTGCGGCCTCACTAAGGCCGAGTACAAGGGGAGAATGACGTCCCGGGATTTGCTTGAGAAGCATCTATGGATGCAAGCCAGCGTTTTGGTCACTTTACTAGCCGCCGCATCGCATTGCAGGCTCATGTTCATCTTGTGGTCAAAGATGACCCCCAAGTCTCTTTCTTCCATAGTGCTAGCCAACATAGCTGGGCTATGATGCTCGCCAGCTCCTTGAGTACCCTGGGGTGAAGATTGTCAGGGCCAGCTGACTTGAAGGTATCCAGCTTCTCAAGATGTTCCTTCAGAAAGTCAGCATTAAAGGAGGGCAGGGGATCACCCTCACCCGGACTTCCCGGCCCT